ATCCTAGCTTGAGGTGGCGACATGCCATTGGAAGCTTTTAAATTTCTACAACCTTCTTAGCCACTAAGTCAACATTAGATTTAGTCTAGCCAATCATCTTTCATATCAGAATCAAACCAATCAAATCCACGCTTCTAGTCAAATATCTAATCCCTTGGAATCTAGAACTTTGTAAAAAATAAAATAGAAATGCTCACTCCTTTCTAGAAGAAAAAATAGAAGTGATCACTTCACTCTTCTAGAACTTCGCTAATTAATCTGCCAACTATAGATATTGTAGCCAAACTTAGTCATGACTAGATAAATTTAGTTATAACTAACTAGTTTAGTCATAACTAGCTAGACTTAGCTATGCTTTGGCTAATTATCCTTAATCAATTGACCACTTCTAAGACTTAGTACATATGTGCAAAACCTGGTCTTACAGATCATTTCTTGCAAACCCAATGCTAATGGTTTGGCGGAGCAGATCAACTACACTCTTTGTATGATGTTGGCCAAGGATGCAGACATGGTCGTGAGCAAGCAAAACTGGGACAAGAGGTCGCATGCTATCTTGTGAGAGTATCGAACAACGTGAAAAACATCTACTAGATATTCACCCTTTCGAATGGTGTATGGAGTTGAATCAAAGCTTCCAATACATTTCGACTTGACTACTTTCATGACGATACAACAAAGGTTGAAGAAATTAAATATAGCAAAAGCCATCAAGTCTCGCCAACAACAATTGATGGAGTTAGTAGAAGCTCGAGCTCTAGCCATGGTACGAGTGGAGCATGCTCAACAGTTGCACAAGAAGTATCACGACAAACAAAGTAGAAATCACGACATGATGGCATTTGAAGACGATGATGCTCTTTGATGCAATTAGATATAAGAGTGCTAGGAAAAAGTTACTTACTAAATATTTTGGACCTTTCATAGTTGAGAAGGTGTGGGGAAACTTCACTTATGATATCAAGGAGTTAGGAGTACGTCACTTCGATCGAGTCAACCACAACAAGTTGAAGTTATTCCATCGAAGATCAGATTCTTTCACTCCGAGGACGTAGTGAAATCTTGGTCCGGGGGTAAATGTAAGATCGGATTTTGCATGTGTGAAATAAAACTAGAATTAGCCAATGAGTTAATTATGGTTTGGATAGTTATGACTAAATCTAGTTAGTTTAGCTATAATGTCTATACTTGATGGAATAACTAGAGAAATTTTAGAAGATTTGAGTGAGCATTTCTATTTTGTCTTGTACAAAAGTTTAGATTCTAAGAGAAAAGATTTTTGACTTCATGTTTACTTTTGATTTGTTTGACTAAATAAGGAGTTATCCAATTGTTAGAGTAAGTCTTATATTGACTTAGTGGAAAATGGAAGTTCTAGAAGTTGGAAAGTCACAAATAGCATGTCGTCACCTCAATCTAGGGATTAGTAAACATCTAGAAGGTTCATGTTCGCTTCTGGTCTATGGTTTTGAGCACACACTTGACTTTGGTGTATATTCATCAATTTTGACATTACATAAATATGCTACTAGTTTTAGTCAGTCATCATGTCTCTTCATGTGAATGGTCCAGTAGCTCGATGCGACATCAAGTTATCTATCTGTGTTGTAGGTTCAAATGCTTCATGGGCCGAGCTTCTTTTGATTTCTTACATCTAAACATACCCCGATTGTACAATAGAGTCATTCATGTTTGCACTCAATTACTTATTGATCATATTTACTTGAGGTTGGAAATCAATTCTCTAGTGCATATTCTAATATGGTAGTAAAATATATTTTTGCTTTTGAAAGATCTATAAAAACAAAATAGTTATAGATAATTTTTTTTAATATAATGTTTCATCTTCAAGTGAGTTTAACTCCTAAATCTAAATATCACACAAGTCATTAGGATTCAATCTTTTATAATTAATATAGTTTGTAATGATGCAATAACCATGATTTTTTCCAAATTGAATCTCGCAAAAAAATTAAATAACTTTAAACTTTTGAGAATTTGTTATTCATCTTTGTACTTTGATTTATTACTTTTCACAAGAATCTTTAATCTTTAATCGTTAAGCGTTATTTATAGTTTAATCGAGTATTCTGCTATAACGCTTTTATATATTATTCATAGTATAAAAAGAAGATTTGAATTGATTTTTTGATGATTTATCTTGAAGGATTCTACTTGTCATTGTTCTATATTTTAAGATTCAGAAACAGATTATTGTGATACAATTGCCCTGGGTTGTCTATAATTAGCCCAAAAACACAGCTGAAAAATCTCTATACCTTTCATGTCATAACTTACGATTTGAGAAATTTTGACTTCAAGATATGGGATTCATAAACCTTTGCTATTGTTTTCTATATTAAACGTCTAGGCTTTTTTTTATTTGTCCAATCCCGTCCATTCTTAACTATATGGATCATTTTGCTTTGAAGACCTGGAACATAAATTTAGGGAAATATTTAATATTACAAAAAACATAAAAATGAACTACTACTGAGCTAATGAGCACCCATCGTTCAAGATTTAATATCTAGTTAGATACCTTTGTGAAAGTCCAAAGCCACATGACAATAGATGTTGATTATCGACCTAATACCTGAACCCAGTTAATATGTCCCTGTTCCAACTAGGATCTGCCGACGCTACAGTTCCGAGAACATTCGATGGGTCGAGCGGCGGAAGTAACCCCGGGGCAGAAATAGTTCAGGCCAAAACTTTGCCACGTTCTCGGGACGAACCAAAATATTTGCTGGCCCATACAGGTATCGAACCTGTAACCTCCGTGAATCGAACCTGGAACCTCCGAGAGCCAGTTTATGTGTGCGAATGCACGACGCTCTAACCAATTGAGCTAATGGGCCACACGCTTCATTACTAGTGTATAGTATTTTATAAACATTTCTGAGGGCCGCAGATGACATATAACATAGTTTACATTTCGTACATGGGGCGTAGAATTCATATTTTTTTGGAGTTTTGTGCAGCATTGGAAGGAATACCCAGAAATCCATCTATTGGAGAACACCCCAGGAAGTTTAGTACGCAATTCTTTTGGTAAAAATAATAGTAGGTGGAGCGGTCCCCTGGCGATTCTCGAATTCTAATTCAGTTGATCTAATGTTATCTGACTGTAGTGATTCAATAGATTTTCTGCTCGAGATGATAGGGACTTGGAGTTAATGCTTCATTTAAGTACTGATTGCATTTAAAATCGTGTCGCTGGTCCTCCACAATAATGGTGACGAGGAGTGCTTAAAAATCTTGAAAAATTGCTGCCAAGCTTTACCAGAAGGAGGGAGCAAAGTCGTAATCTGCGATAATGTGTTTGACCATGAGAATGCAGATGCCGCTTTCCTAAAGGTCGGGAGAGATCCTTCGATGCCTACAAGGCCTTGTTGACGTCTTGTGGTTTTGTTGATTGCAAGTTGATTAAGCTTCCTGGCGGTGTTACTCTCATAGAAGCATATAAGTATCGAATGTTAGAATTTTCGAACATAGACACCAACCGGTGCAATTTCACAGCTAATTCAATAAGTAGGAGTATCACAGGTTTTCATTCCAAGACGGCATAAAAGCATGCAGAGTTTGATATCCCAGTTATGATAGATCTAGAGCCCACATCCAGTTACGACAAATTGCAAATGGGAAGTCAGTGGCTACGAAACGAAGATGACATGCATTCACTCCGCCAGCAGTCTCATACATATCCAGATCCAAGTGAAATGCATTCTCTTTTATTAAAGTAACGAAAATAAAGAGAGTATATAATTCAGTGGTTCTACTAGATGAGTTATTTCGTAACAACAGGAGAGGTCTTTTTTTTTGGAATCTACCGATTTCGTTCTGAAAGGTCACTTCCAGAACTATCATATGTCATTTCATATTGTAGTGCCAAGTGTATATGTATCTACATGATACCCAGGCTGCACAACTGGGGGAGATTCTGGAAAATTGAACTCGAAAACATTTGTCCAATCTTCATTAGGGGGACAAACGTCAGATTCACACTACCATGATGGAGACCTTTAATATTGGAATCCTACTTGTATGCAGGTCAAGTACATAAGATCCATCCAATATGATTACATATGATCATGATAGAACATAGTTTACGGAAAATTAGTTGACTGTTGGTACTAACATTATCAGATTGATAAGGATTTAAGTACCGTGGAGTTTCCACTGGTTGACATCCTATCCACCCATGAAGAAAACGAAACAGATGGTGGTGACTTGGTCGAAGACGTTGGACGATGGCGACTTCCATATCTCCATTAATTTAAATTTTTTTAAAAACAGCAGGTTAAGATTGCAGAAATAGATCACACTTCTAAGAGTACTGGACAGAAAGTTATGATCTGATCAATCACATGTTGACATTAGAGACGATAATGAATAAATTGTAGAGGATAAATCAGAATATGTTTAATATTGAAAGCGATAAGTGAAATTTGAGCTAGAAATGTCTTAAAAGATTTCCCACCATTGGAGGTTTGTTGGTCAGTTACTGAAAGCTACCTTCACATCTCATCCAGCTATAGTCTATAAATGGTACAATAATCCATAACCAGAGGCCATTATAGAAATGAACTACAATTACAATAATGGTCTTGGTGAGAATTGTACTGAAATACATAATGAGAACTATGGATATGATATTTGAGATTTGACATGTGAATACAGATTAAAGTTTATTTTGTATTCATGATCCCTAGTTTTTGTATCCACCAGTTGTAGGTCAGATGCATTCGACTGATTAGTATAGGAAAATCAACCAAAACACGCTGTTAAAGTTACCTCATGCACGCAACTGTGCTAGCAAAAGTATCAAATAAAAATTATATATAAATTAAAACATATGAAAATGTCCACATCAACCGTGACGTGAATACAACATAGAACACTTAGGGCTTGACCCGGAAGTAGCATGCTTCCATAGTACTTAAGCACCTCATGCTTGTTACAATTGACACAATTTCTCACTTTTGCTACTTTCGAGGACGGATTTCATCATGACGAGAGTGGGAGCTGCGAAGAACGGGAAGAAACTTTTGCTTAGCAGAGGAAATCATTCCAAGGGCAAGTCATTGCTGCAGTTCTCCAGCAAAGCTCAAGACAAGCCGCGGGATGGAATGCAGTCGAGGCGACGGGGGCCTTCTTGTAATTTTCGGTCCGATGATGTGAATGTGCAGATGCTTTTGGATAAATTTGACACATTTCGAGAGAAGTACAGAAAGAAGAAGAAAAATGAATCAGCTGCATTGAAGGATTTTTGTTTACAGTTTCAACCATTATTGTGCAATGGGATGAAGAGTATCGATGGAGATATTCCCGGAGTAAACGTTGGTCAATGCTTCAACTCGCGAGTGGAGTTATATTTGGTTGCAGCTCACCATCGTCTTCAATCAGGAATCGATTATTTGCCCGCTATTCGAAGCCCAGCAATGATTGATGGGGAATCTGTTTCGATAGCGGTTAGTGTCGTGCTTTCGGGAGAGAAGAACGATATCGACGAGGGAGACACCATCCATTACTGCGGGGAGGGAGGGATCGGTAGACGCGGTGATGGTATCCGCATCACAGAAGATCAAAAGCTAGTGGCAGGAAATCTTGCCCTGAAGAATTCTGCTGAGCTCGGACGATCAGTCCGAGTCATTCGGAAGCACATGGATTGCTTCCATCGATCCAAAGTTTTTTACAGCTATGACGGTATGTACAAAGTAGCCAAATTCTATAGCGAGAGAAAGAAGGGAGCCCTGGTATATATGTTTGAGCTAAACCGACTTCCTAATCAAGGAGAATTATGGTGGTAGGTACACAATATGGAGGAGTGGTATTCGAACCTCATTGTTTATAGTCATCCTTAGTCCAACCAAAGCAAGTTTTGGAGTAGCTGTAGTCTGTGATTGTTGAGTTGCTTAGGGACGTTACTAAACCTTGCTCAAACCAAAGAAATCGTACGGGTTGTACGAATTGATGTAGTTTGTGTGTTTTGAGTTGCAGTATATATGTTTTACTTTGTCATGTACATATGAGACTCATATATACCAAAACAATATATTGAAATTACATATGGTATAAAGTCACATGTTTAGAACATGGACTTGTCCTGTAGAAAAAAACAAAAGATCATAAGTTGCTGTGTCACTCAACATTGACTTTTTTATTGAGTTTGAGTGCAATCTAGAACTCAAGACACACTTTTTCGTTACCTTTGCTCTAGCTATATGATGTACAACGTCTTCTATAGAATCATGTGATTGAGAATACAGGGTTATCTTTGATTAAATTATCTTATTTTGTTTTATTTCAGTTCTAGATGCAAGATGATCTAGCTTTGAACGAGCTCTATGATATTCAAGCCCTCAATAGAATCATGTGTATGGAAAACAAGAGGATATTTTTGGTTCAATTATCTTATTTTGTTTTATTTCAATTTACGATGCAACATGATCTAGCTTTGAACCAGGTCTATGATGTCCAAAATCTTCTATAGTATCATGTGTATGGAATACACACTAAGATAACTATGGTGTAAGAGGATTTTGGAAATGTGATTTAGTCTCTTGTTCCTTGAAGTTTGGATAATCTATTTTTGTTTGAGTATACTATATCACATAAAGTTCACATATGCTCCTGCAGTAATTTCTCCATGTGAGTTGTTAAAGACTTGTTTTAGAGGTTCGCACCAATTGAGCTCTACCTAGTCATGGAGCATTTACTAGAAGTGTGCTCCTTGAGATAAGAAAAAACTATTCCATGCTATAACACTTTCATATATCATAACTTACACCCAACAGTTTTGATTTCGTCACCGTATTGGCAACCTAATTTAAAAAAATGTCATCATTTGCCCTACATTTATTTTATTCCAAGTGGTATAACTCCTTGCTGTCACCAAGTGTCTCTTGGACATTTCACCTCCCACCTAGAGTAATTAAACTTCAAACAAAAACTTGCAAGTAAAGCTTTCAATAGCTAGATAAATATATAGTTTACAATGAGTATATGAAGTAGGTCTCTTTTATAGTACCACTGTTTCTTCTACCTACTAGTGTTCGTACACGCTTTCAAAGACCAAATCATTCTCACTACATTCTAGTATAGCTCTTACAGGTGCACCATAAATCCACGAATGGTGCATTGGGATTCACTGGTGAACTGTGGAATCATCGGCTTGAAGGGCATGTAGGGCTGCGGAATCCCCTGCAGGTTCTCCGTAGTTAGTCTCGCCATGGCGCTAGATTCTCCTGTACCTGCCTTCGTCAAAGTAGGATCAAGAATCTGCTCGAAGCTGGAATCCTCATTCCCGACAAGCGACTCTAGCATGTCCGTGGCTGCTGGGGGACGTACAAACACGTTACAACCTGAATCTTGCTGCCAAACTTCAGATTCAGATGCATGCTGGTGATGGATAATCCAGTAACGAAAAAATGATGAACATGGATAAGAAAAGGCAAACAGCATTGAGGTCAAATGTAGAGGCCGTAGAAATTGACAAACCAGTCAGTTTATATGCATGTGGTAGCTTGTATACACATTGCCATCTTCATAGATGACAAGCAAGTAGTAATTCTTGTAACTCAGGAATGAAAGTTAAGTATGAGCACTTGGAGTACAAGATGAAAAACTCTAGTTTAAACAGTACAAATACTCAGTGCAGTAACCATAGTCCGATCTGACTGGAATAGCACAGGCAAGAAGCATGACATCGTCGCTTTGTATTGGATATTTATTGCGCAGACATACACAACTTGCATACGTTGATACTACACACTTCCGCAGTGCACGCAGTCTGGAGGAAAGAACTTACTAAGATTTGCTCAACTTAGTGGAGGGAAATCGAGTTATGGAGCAAAGATGGCAGATGGAAGTAGCAACTCTAACTCCGAGACTTCGCTTCAGCCTAGAGAACTCGTTCCTGGTCCGTCTTTTATAGATGCATTACGAATTTGAAGATGTTGACTCCAACTTTCTCACACACTGTATTTGTATTAGCTTGTTGGTGCTTGCAGAAAGCAGTGGACAGAAGCTTCGTGTAAGGTTGATTCCACATCTAGTGATCGGAATGGTCACCATATGAACATCAAAAACTGCAAGCCCAATGGGCAATGGGGCGAGCATCGTCACATGCGAGTTCCTGGCCTTACGCTTAGCATCAGTAGCAAAGTAGATCACGGATGATTTCTGCTGCAAGACCTAGGCCGCTGTCAAAATCTGCACTAACGGTATTCGTCACGCCATCCAACACCTGGAATGGAGTTCTCTGCAATCCCTTCACGAGTCCTACTCTACAAATATTCTCCGCCATCTAGGAAATCATGTAGATGAAAGCCCAACGAATGGGACACTTGCTAACCAGAAGTAGTCCCAAAGTAACTGCAGGATTAATGTGTGTCCTCTTGAAACACATTAGAAGTAGACAAGCACAAATATGATAGGCTCCGGAAAGACCATGCAACACCGTATAGAGTCTCTACGCCATGCCAGGGGCTTGTCCAAGAGTTTCTACGATTCTTCTTGCCCTCAAGCAGTTTCTATTGTAGATCCCTTCATGACCAAATACCTCCAGAAAGATAGGAATTTTGCTGCTGATTTTTACCGATTGCGGTTACACAATTTATGGGTACGGGTATGTCTCTCTAAACCTCTCTGTGATTGGGAACATGTAAACTATTCTTCTAACTCACTTTTATGCATGCTGCTGATTTCTGAGCATTCAATCACAAACCTGAGTTGCAGATATATCCGTAACATCTTCATGACTTCCTCGTTTTTGTAAAAGAAACGTCCATGTTGAGAATATAACTCATCAACAAGGGCTATTCTTCATTTCTTCTGTCAAAGATACTCATCCTCATAATAACTTCTCAGGGGTGTGATGGTTCTGTTCTTCTCAACTTCATTTGAATCCGATGACCAACAATCTAGAAGCGTTCTGATTATGGACACCTCTCTCATATCGATGTCCAAAGGTTGGCGGTCCAACGTGGACCGTGGCAACTGGTTGCAGAAATGGGAGTGCGGTCGACCGACTTGATGGCTGATACCAATCTTCCATTCCCAGTCTCGAACTTCAGTGGACTCGTAGCCAACTTCGCGGCCAAGGGCTTTAACGCCAGAGAAATGATCACTCTCTCAATTACTACCATCTTCATTCAGGCTTCCAAATGCGTTGATCAGATACAATCGTGATCTGCCCTCTTCACCGACCCCGGAAGCAAGAAGGTTGTGGGATCGTTCGCCAAGCGCAGCTAAAGAAGTTTGCTGCTGCTATGGTGAAGATGGGTAACATTGGGGTGCTGCCGCAGGACATGCCAGTTAGTAAACCAGTGAAACATTGTCAAGATTTAACATCAGTGAGTTCGGTAGCAGGCGGAAATTCTACTTTTGAGCTAATAGTTCGTTTTCCTACCATTAATCTAATCTATGTTAATCTAATAGGTATTCTTTGCAAGAAAACTAAAATGTCTACTACTATTTTTCCTATCTAGAAAACATTCACCTCACACTTCACATCTTCCTTCAAACGATCTGAACCAATTGAATCTTTCGCCTGTCCATGCAAAGGAACAAACCCAAAGGCTTCCAACTTGTCTGCCTCAAGTCCTGCAAGGTAATATAGCCATTGGTCAGAAGGTTCTGATCTATTCATCATGCGAGTGTGCTTTGAGAATTGGGGTATTACTGGATGAGGGAAAGATTTTAATATTTCCACCCACATTGAAGTTCGGACAAGGGTTTAGACCACTGCAACCTCAAGGACACAAAATCACACAAAATCACACATTTTTCTTCAGTCTACGGAATACTGCGTATTCCGGAGACTGATACCATTGACAACGAGGTGGTAAGCCATGGGGATCGGGGTCTTCATCCTCGCAGAAGAGTTACTAGTATCCGTATCGAGCATGTCGTTGTCTAGGATTTGGATTCAACATTTTCCGTATAAAAATAATATCATAAAACAATTTTCCTATTATGATCCCAACGATACCATTATCGAGGTGAGATGTGACAGAATCATTCTCACAAAGTTCAACTCCACGTTAAAGTAAATCAGCTTAATTTATTTCCAGAGTGTCTACTACTCCTTCCAACGGAATGGTGCTCTCACTTGAGATGGATGTGATAGTTCCAAACGCCTTGTTAGTGTTCATTTTTTTGAGTTTCACACCAATTTTTCACTCGCCACAAAACGCGATACAAAATCTTCATGCAACGACAATGACACAATAGAATAGTTGTGTCTATTGTGTCATTGTCTATGGTTGATGCTACGTGTAAGTAGCAGTGTTCCAACCATTTGCTAAATTGAAACTTTTAGACAGTGCAGTACATTTGACGACACGCACATTTGAATTTGAGATAAAGGATCTCCGTAAAATGCGATTAGGCATATTAGACATTTATTTTTTAAATGCCTTCTGTAAAGCGGCCTACATGTCTAATGATGCACTTCCAGTGAAAATTCATCTTCAGACGACCACCCTAGCCTAAAAGAAGGTCCACAGTATGTGAAAAGAGACAGAACAATATCTTAATATTTCTCAAAATAAGTCACTATCTCATAAACTGCAACTCTGAAAGTATTGAATGGACTTGAAGGAACATCCATAACCACATCAACCTTCACGCCCGATATGAGGTATCACGCTAGCAGTTTAGTTATATATAAAATCAGATACTCAAAATACAGCACAAGTAGATAAGTGTGCTTTATATAGTACAGACCGTGCACCTGGAAAGAATATTGATGACAGATAGATCTACTATAAAGAGATCATTGGTCATATTAGTCTTGAAAGGAGTGCATTGGTGTATAATAGGATTCATGTTGCCACCAGCTCTCTTCCCGATCAGAAAGAAGAAGCGTCGATCAAGTAGCCACGTCGTGGTTATTCGACATAACAATTTCTTCCCATCCCTCCTTCAAGAAATAAGGTCACTTTTTTGACATGGGACGTCTCTTCTATTTTCTGTAGTATATATTCTCGATTTCTTTGAAACTTTCATGAAATTGTTTGTAATTTAAGAGCAACCGAATATTAAGGACAAAGGATCTGTGCTAAATGTAAATTTAGAACCCAACGTCTTTTCTCGAGGAAGACACTCTTAAATAAGCAGCAAACGAATCCGCTATGCACGACGCAGTATCAAATTCAAGATGAAGGGCTCTGCATTTTGACAGATTGATCCTTTATCGAAGAAAACTGCGCAAGATTGAGAAACAAAACTAAGATATTTCAGAGAGAACAAAGGAAAGAACGGACATCTCTCTTCCCGCTCATGAGAATTGGAAGTCTTCTCAAAAGGGAGAATTGGTAGAGTGATGAACATCGTGTCTGCAGTTAAAGAAGTAAAGGGGCATTTCGGATTCGGGTCTCTTCGCATCGTGAGGGAATTTGCCACTTATCCTTTCATCCGATGTGTCGATGTTTACCCCTCTACTGGTAGAAAGGCTCTGCTCACATGCATCTCTGAAACACTAAACTGAGTCTCACAAGCCGTAAATTTCCGACAAAATCAAACACCTCACCTCACAAGAAGAGCTGGAGCGTGCAACACAATGCTTGAGTTTCATCTCTTTGGTGGTGATATCTTTGTCTAGTATTTTGAATACATTTTGATGGCGAAAAGTTTAGAATGAAAGAAAGATGATGCATGAATGAGTGATTGAAAATCGATGAATGAATTCTTCAGGAACTCAGACTAACCATGAACAAGGAACCGAGTTGATAAATTGAACTCGCAATGAGGAACACCCTCTGAGTTTTGGGGCTAAATCCCAATAACATCACAATGTTTGCGAGTGGCTGTTTTTTAGATAGGAAAATAAGAGTAGATTTTTAGTTTTTGTTTTAGAAAAGGGTAGATATTAGAATGAAATAGATTAGATTAATGGTTGGGAAATCCATGTTTTATAGTTAATTCACTTTTTGCCTCCCGATTATGTTCCCGTATTAAGGGGACAGCAGTAAAGGTTCCCTTCCACGAGCGTGAACACAGGGTGGCGAAACCAAGTGCTCCTTCGAGTATTGGAGGCAATCGGCAGCTGCAGCAGCTTTGAAACGCTGGACGTAGAAGGTATTTGTGGCCGTCATATATCCTGTTTTTCAACTAGCGAGTGGGAGGTAATTTTGAGAGGTTTTAGTTCCAGTAGCGTTCTTGGACAGATGAGAATTGGCGAACTGACATGGATTTCCGAAGCGGAAATAGAGAGCTTGGGTTTACAGCTGGGATAATGCTGAATACCTCTAGTGTAACGGATTTGACAATAGTTAATTGCGGATGGACTGCAAGATTTTTCTTGAATCTCGCATCATGACTGCTAGAAAATTACCAATCGAAACTCAAGTCTTTACAAATACTTCACCTTTGGGAGGACACAAGAGCGGTGAAGTATGTCGTTGAGATGTTGAGCGGTGATAATCGATTAGAAACTTTGAGGTTAGGCAAGTACTTGGTCAGCTACTCAGACTACATCTACGACGTGGACGAGACGGCCGTTCGGACCTTGTTCCAGGTTTTGATGCAAAGCCTGGAACAAGGTCTTTAAAAGAATTGGATTTAGATCAAATGAAGAGTGGATCTGCCTCCTTATCGCTGATCACATTGGCCGGAGATGATGGCAACCGATCGATTGAGCGATTTCAGCTGATAGCAATGTCTGGAATCTGGGAATGTTTTGAAGTTGGGGATGCGACTTTCCAGACCTTCAAGTATAATTGTTGGTATGGCCAACAAACAGAAGGTAAAACCACTTGGTGTGGTTGACAAAGTTGTGGTAAGTGTGAGATGTGTGCAAACCTTACTTTCCTTCCAAGTACTCAAGGAAGCTAGTTATGATTTGCTGTTGGGACGTCCTTGGTTGAGGGCGGTGAGAAATACTGATCGATGGCACAAGGGCTATCTGAGGATAGGCCCAAAGAACCATCGGGTGAAGGTTACTTTGACAGGAGGAGGAAGTTCTCTTACCGACTCAGATAGACCAACCGACGAATATTGGGAATCTGAGAGTGAGGAGAGTGGCAGTTTTTCAGAAGTTGACACTGACATGTCAACTTCTGATCAAGAAACATCGTCAGGCGACTCTTCAGATGATGATGTACAAGTTCAAGTGGTTGCTGCCATGGAGTTGCTTCCTAGACCGGGGGTGAAGAAAGATCCGGACAAAGTGGAGATGACCGAGGAGGAGGTGTGTCGAAGACTTTCCACCCTCAAGTTTGGTCCAAATGTTACCTTGGAGGAGAAGGCAAGATTTTTGGATATATTTCGCAAATATATCCATGTCTTTGCCTTTAGTTACAAAGATTTGAAGCATGTGACACTTGAAACTCATCACATTGAGTTGGAGGAGAAAGCTCGCCCTATTCGGCAGAAGCAACGACGAATCAATCCTCCTACAGCTGTGGTGGTAAAAGAGTAGATTGACAAGCTGAGGGAGGCTGGCTTCATCTATGAGGTAGAAAATTCGGAATGGGTGTCTCCTATTGTGATAGTGAAGAAAAAGAATGGTAAACTACGTGTATGTGTAGATTACAAGAAGTTGAATGCTGTCACAAAGAAGGACTACTATCCTTTACCTTTTATAGATGAGATTTTAGAGGAGGTA